TTTAGTTATCTCTCTTGTTGGAGTTTCCTGAGGGTTTGGCCTCCATGTAACAGGCGGGTTCTGGACACTCCTAATTAACAAGTCAACTATTACTTCATTCAACTGACCGAAAGAATTTCAATTAAATTTTATGACTAATGGTACGAAAGCGGTTAGTGAATGAGATTTCCCATTGGGGTTCTAGGAAGGAAAAGAGTGGTAGTTAGACGTTGGGGTATGATTAATTGTGCTCTCAACTAATTTCTTACTGTAAAATAATATTATTTGATAACTTATTAATTAAGATCTATGAATCTTTAAAGTTTTTTTTTCTACCAAAATATATCTTAAAAGGAATTCCTTAAAAGTTGTTTAGACCAAAGAATTTATACATTTCCTCTTGTTTTTCCCCTGGAGTAGCATACGAAAATGTGTTTTCCAGGAATCTAGAATTAACATGACATCTCCGCCTCCAGAGTCACCGACTCCGCTGAGGACATGCCCATGTGAAGAAGCTTCCTCCAAGAGCATTTGTTCTTCGTTCCGCACAGGCGACGGCGACACCTCTTCCCATTTCATGCTCGTTTCTGCCTTTTCATTTAACAACTTCCGCTTGGCCGAACCGCAACAGCAACAGCAAAAGCAAAAAAAAAAAATGAACACAGAACTGCGATCTGTGCAATCGCTGATGATGAGGTGCATAAACGACGCCCATTTATTGAGCCCTCGCGGCTCTAATAACTTTGGATGAGAGGCGGGAGGAGTGAATGGCGAGGTGGTACCTTTAGATCTTCGATCGCTGGCTGGTAAGAGGCCAAGGTGGTGAAGGTACGGGGGGCAGCAGGTGCTCAAGGGGCTAGGTCGAACATGTTTGACGTCCACTAAATGACAGGCATTTGTCTGCACCCAGAGGGAGAGGGAGGTGGCTTTGTACACCTGGCCAAAAACAATTGGATATAAGACTGAAACTTTTAACTTTATTTTTGTTTATTAAACTTCTTTACAGGTTTTTTTACCTTAAAACAACATGAAAATATTTCCTATTTATCCAATTTATTAGACTAATTTTTATGTCGATTCTAATTTTAAAAGAGACAAAGACCTCTTAAATATTTAAAACTCTTTTTCTGTGTACGGCCACAAGAAGAAGTCGCATCAATAGAGTTGGACATGAAAATTGTTCAAACTCCTTCTCGTTCTCGTCTGCTTTTCTTGTACTTGCTGTGTGTTCGCAGCATATTTAATGAGCCACACATGTTGATGGCTCTGACAGTTTGTAAGTCAGGTTTTTTCCTCATGGTCTTTTTTAAGCCAAAGTAGTTTGGCATGTGCTTGATGCTGGAATAATTTCAATGGCTCAAGTATTGCCAAATTTATTTTCTGGCTGTGAAACTGAAGTTGAAGCGTGTTGGCATTTCTTCAATTATGATGACACAAATTTCACTCTATGATGAAGCCGCAAACACGGGCTTATATGCAAATGTGGTTATTAAAAGCATTACAAATGGTTAAGAAAGAGAATTACACTAGAGTACAAAATAGTTCTATTTTATATAAAAAAATATTCTGTTTTGTTTGATTTTCTTAAATAAGAATAAGCTTAGATGACAATTAAAGTTTAAAGTTGTTTTTGTAATTCTGGCCCCCAAGATTTAGATCAGCGATCTCACTTTTGCTGACTAGTGTAGTCATGCTCACGTTTCAATTCTCAATAATCGCTTATTGACTCGCACTGACTTCGATTTCTATTCCGTGTTCCGTGTTCTAAGACAATTTGCAAAAGTGAAAATAGGCCCAGATCTGAATTTCTCTTTCCATCCAATACTACTCTTTCCAGAGCTCTCCATTGTTATTCGATTTTTCAGGCTGGTCGAGATTTACATAATCCTAAGTGCTAGTTGTGCTTGCCACACGATCGTTCGGTGAAAGTTGTTACAAATTATAAGTTAAGAATGAGCCCAAAAATATGCCCAGTAGTCACAAAGCAAAACAAAGCCAAGATCCACAGAGATCTGAGCAAAATGTTGCACTAGACTTTGGTTTGCTTTTGCTTTTCGCCTTTCACAAATCAACGTCCAAATATGGGAGGGAGTGCTCTCCATCGCCTTCCCGAAAAACCAAGATAAATAAATCTGTCAGTGGGGCGTTGCTACTGTGTCAAATGGCCAAATGGACGGAATGGCCAACAAAGTATCTATCAGATTCGAATGCTCAATACCCAATTTTATTGTTGCCGAATCGATGTCACGGCTACACAGTTTCCACTTCAAGATCTATTTTGGTTCAAATAGAGAATTTATTGTCAGCAAACTAAGCTTTGTGGCGATTCGGGACAGTCAGTCGAACTAGTTAATTGGGTTGATTTCTTTGACTGAGCATGTGTGTCCTCACTTTTGCTAAATTAAGATGTTATATTCGGAGGAGAAACTTGAGTGGGACTTAATTATAAATGATAGATTAGATTATTGATTAGCATGTAGAATTTTCTATAACTTCTTTATTTTCTTTAGTTATACAAACTAAATTAACTTTCGATGGTGAAATTTGTAAATTCTAATCCATGAATCACTTTTATTTTTGCCATTTACAGTTCTCTGCTAGACTCCTCTCCCAAAACCATTGTGAAATATCTTCTATACAAACTTGGCCAACTAGGTTAATGAAACTGAAACCCTAAAAAACTTTTAATTTCTTTAAAACCGCAGTAAACTGGGTTGATGAAGTTAAGCAAACTCTTCATTGTGATTAACTAATCGAGCGCAATCAGAGACTTTTAATCTCAACACTTTCGCTCGAAAGCCCGAGGGCAGTCCAATAAATGACTTTGATTAATTTCGCTCAGTGTATGTGCCTTCCAAAATCTAAAGAAAAGGAGTATATAAATAAAGTTGTCTGGGCGTAATTGCTTGGCCCCATTACGGAGGTTCTTGTGTTGGACACCTGAGTGGCATTTGCTCCCACAGCCTCGCTTTCTTTTGGCTCAGCTCAGTTCGGTTTTATTTGGTTTGGCTTGGTTTTGTCTTTGCTCATGCAATTACTGTAATTTATTTATGAGTCTCACTGAGCTTACACACGTTCTGAATATAGTGGCAGTGAAACACATAGAAATTCTTGATATTATCTACAAGTGCGTGGCTCGCTGAAGTTCCGTTTCTTAGCGAAAATTATGGAATTATGTTGGCCCGGCCCGACCCCGATGTAAATCGCTTTTGGAAAATATGTAATTAAGGATTTTCACCAACAACTGCAATTTTAGGCCCTAGGGCAATCTCAGTGAAAGAGAAGAGATTTCCCCCTTGGTAGATCTCAACCCAATGGCAGCCAGTAATTCCAGTGTTCTAAGCTTCTATTTTCATGGCCAAGTACACGACTCTGGCATGCAAATGAGCCACAAGTGGCTCTCAATTAAAACCAGAGTCACAGCCAGCCAGTCACCAAAACAAAATAAAAGTCAACTGCAGCTGATTTATTGTGTGAAACTGAAATTCTTTTCGGTTTGGTTGCCGTTTGGCTTTAATTCTGTGACTTCTGTTTTTCTTTCGTGCCTCGTGAAAGTTTCTCTAGCATAGATCTCCTGTGGCCTGACATTCAGATAATGACTTGATTAAAAGTTGTCATGAGAACCAACTGCGACTAAATTGTGCAAGGCCAAAACCAGACCCACCAATCCAGTATGCAAACGGAGCTCCAATTAAGCGAAGAAGCTCTCTGCATTTGAGTTTGACTTCCTGCAGTGATCCGTAGGGGTATATCCAACGGATTTATTTTACTGACTATATAATAAATACTTTGAATAAATCGTATGGTTTTACAGTTATTTATTACCTGGTAATAATTTATAGCTCCCATTGTAATTAATCAGAGAAAGGTAGGGAAAGTTGTGTACTTTTTATTTTTATTTAAAGTTAAGTTTAGTAGCTTCTACAGCTGCAATACCTTCTAATAAGTTTTTGTAATATTTTTTTTATAGAGTATCTAATATTTGTCCATCTTAAATTCCAAAAATCATTCCCGGTTCTTTCCAGACTTTTCGTTTGCATTTGCATGTCAGTGAGTTTTCGCTGCTAATCACGTTCTTAATGAAAGTGGCTGCAGTGGCCACTTCGGAAGAGTTGCTCATGGACAACATAGTTGTTTGTTGTTAGTTGGCTCTTGGCTTTTGGTTCTTGGACAACTCGGTGGCCAGAAGTCTGGCAGTCAGTGGATCTTTCGCTGGCAATGACCGCCATTCGCCTGGCTTTATTTGATTTTCATGTTTGTTTGGCTGTTTTCCAGTTGTTGCGTTTGCATGCAACTCGCGTCTGGCGATTCGGGATTTCGGGGAGTGTGAACTTGCTGCCACTAGCTTGCAGAACTCCTCTTTTTTTTTCCACAGACCAGTTATTTGAGCCAGCTCTTAGTTTTTGAGTAATTTTATTTATGACTGCGGTTTGGTGTTGCCTTTTCTATTTGTGTTTTTATTGATTGATTTTAGCAGCAGCATTTGCTTTTGGCCCATTTCCGTGTGAGAATTTATGCCAAGCACTCGAAGTCCAGTGGATAAACAAAGCGATAAAGTTGTGTGAAATTATTGGGGGGATTAACAAGATCTGTTTTGTGTTCAGGTATTTTCATCTAGCTATCGAAGACTTAGGGGGTTAAACAAGAAAAGAAAGTTGATACTTAATAGAAAAGTGCATTGTTTAAGTTAATTGTTCCCCATTGATTGATTGATCAAGCTTGGTATCCGTTTGAGCATTGTTAATCATCATAAAGTTTAAATCAGATTAAGTTTCTTAGAATAAAAATCCCATTACCTCTTACCCGAGCTACTTGAATATATCTGCTTACTTAATCATTAAAACCTCTCACTCATCTCGTACCACGCATGACAATTTAGCTCTCTAAAAAAAGTTTATTCAAATGAAGTTGTTTGCCCCGGCAACCTGTTGCATAGTTTCGCTAACATTATTCAACATCGTACCACTAATGACCAGCACTTACCCTCATCTCCGTCTTTTCCCCAAACTCTATCTTTGCAGCTGTGAAGCGAACAAATTCGTCTTCTTTTTTGCCGCCGCCGCTGCCGCGTATAAGTACACACTCGTACATACATATATGGTTCATTAAAAGTGTGGCAGAACTTTGGCACTGGGAACTGGCGACAAGTAACGAGCTACAACGACCTGTGGCAATGCTCCGGCAAATTGTGCGGGTAATTTCCAGCTCGGTTTAATTTGGTCTAAGCCTAAGCCAAATGGGCATGCGCACCGTTGGCCGCTGTCATTCGAAAGTTGCCTCTGCGTGACACACATTCAGAGCATTAGAGTTGGACACAACACAGGCAGACAAGTTGGAGCGCTGCCCTGCCGCATCTCTGAGATATTGATATACCAAAGGGGAACCAGCTGCCAGGGGATTCAGCGATTCTGGCCTGGCCCAAGTCCAAACTCAGCTCTGTTGCATTATTCATGCTCTACGGCGGCATCCACAACTACTTCCACAACCACAACCACGCAACGGGAATAGCATCCACGAACGAAGATGACGCTGCGCTTAGTCAGCATATTATCGGCGGCATTACTGCTCCTATGGCCCGCACAGCTGGATGCATTTATCACACCGAATACAGGTGAGTACGGGGCTAGCGGATAATGTCTGTGAAATGTGTGGCATTGGGTGAGATGATGCAGACTCTTTACCTTTTAGACGTGCAGCGGAAAAGATGCTGATTAAGTGGAAAATTTCATTTCGAATATTTTGAGTTTATTTATGATTCCAGTTCTATAAGAAGAACCGCCTTTGAAACATCTGTAAAATATTAATTTTTAATGTAAAAAGTTTATAGCAAATTTCTTATTTTTTACCTTTAGGCTGCCACCACAATGGCACTTGGTTCGCGGACAAATCGGTGGTGCCCAGCATGGAGAAGTGCCTAAATTGCCAATGTAACCGGAAGACGTTAGTCTGCCGACTTAAGGTCTGTCCTGAAATGCCCATGCCACCGCCCAGAGGCTGTGTTGTGGTCCAGAAGAAGAGCACTTGCTGTCCTTATCTTTCCTGTGCCAGATTGGATGCGTTCTACAAGATACCCACCAAACGCCGCATCATCGCTTATCTGGATCACTACGAGAGGGAGTCCATCGATAGGGTGGTCAATGATAATATGTTACAAAGACGATCAGATGATTCCGATACAGATCTTTTTGGTGAGTAATTTGCATACTTTTTTAATGGAATGGTTTAAACTTAATAAAATTTTTTAAAGTTTGCGTGAAAAACGGAACTGTCTACAAGTCGGGATCTGCAATGTCATCTTCGAACTTGTGCAGCTACTGCTATTGCATAGGTGAGTTAGACTAAACTAATAACCCATTAACATTAAATGTTAATGAATATATTTTACATTTTTCCGTAAAAGGCGGCACCGAGAAGTGTGTGAAGCCAAAATGTATGCTGCCCGTAGAAGGCTGTAAGCCCATATTTGTGGACTCCACTTGCTGCCCCGTGAGATACGATTGCAGTAGCAAGACCTCAGGAAAGTCCTCCCAGGAGGTGCGTTATAGGAAGACATCGAACAAGCACTTTCAGCGAATGTCGCAGCGCCTGCAGCGTAATCGAGGCTGCACTGTAGGCGCCCAGTTCTACGCAGAGGGTCAAAAGATGCGTTCGGATGCAGACAAGCCCTGCGACATATGCTTCTGCATTCGGGGAACAAGGCGATGTGCTCCCAAAAAATGTTCCCCTGCTTTGAAGAACTGCATTCCAGTGGTGCCAAAGGGTCAGTGCTGTCCATCGAGTTATGACTGTGGCAGTCAGCGGGATTACCGAAGGTCACACAACTCCAGGCAGTTTAATTTGTACAATATGCTCTTTGGCAAGGAGGAACCAGAGCCACTGGAAACTGCTTTAATACCACAAAACTCTATGGCTGAGAGATATCCACACGATCGTCATCCCACAAGAGCTCCTGTGGGGAATCCCCTGGAGGCTAGCAGTGAAAAGAGCATAATGGACACCCTTCGCGAAGGCCTAGAGTTTATAGATGGTAATAACAACAAAATGCTGGCCAACAACTTGGATCTTGTGGGCATAAGAACCACCCAGGCACCACCTATGATGAGAACGGAATCCAGTGAAGAGGTGAGCAGTACTACAGCCCTGAGTTTTCTGGATTTGCTGCTGGGTCCTAGTACAGAAACTGTGGGTAGCGAAGAGAGGGAAACCCGAATCTACTACTGTAAAGAATACTCTTTCCTGGATGGATATACTCCTTGGACCTGATGAGGAGGAGTTTAACCCTAAAACGGAAGCCTATTTGGAGACTAGTACCACACTGAATCAACCCACTGAATATAATCCTTCTACGAATAGCATAAAACGCATAGCAGAGGACTTTGATGAACAGTTGGACAATGGAGAGATGGCTGTAGGTGAATTGCCAGCGGAGGCCCAACAAATTGGTATGGCAAATGCAGGAATTTGGCCAACACCAGCACCTGAAGTAATGCCACCTCCAAAAGAGGAACCCAGCTTGTTTAACGCCTTGATGGATGGCTTGTCTGGAATACTCGAAGAACCACTTAATCAGACTCTGACAAGTACAACTACAACCTCAACTACAACGACTGAAAGACCCACCACTGTTCATGCACCACCAATGTTTCGACCTTTGCCGAGTGGCAAGCCCGTTCACACAAGAATCAACTCGAAGTTGGCCAATCTGACGGTGACACCGCCCATGCTTGCTGGTGACCAGTAAATATGGTCAGCCGGTGACCCATCGAACAGCGGATAAGAGGGTCAATGCAACCACTAGTTCCACAATAGTCAAAGGCACAGAGAAACCAAGTGCGAGCTCTACCCAACGAACAAAACTAGATACTACAGCTAAAACCACACCGAAGCCCAGCACTACAGTCAAACCTAAGCTAAAGACTACTAGGAAAACCACAACCACACCGAAACCCACTACTCCAAAACCCACAACTCAAAAACCTTCAACGACAAAACCCACAACTCCAAAGCCGACGACTCCGAAGCCCACCACTCCGAAGCCCACCACTGAGAAACCCACCACTACAAAACCCACCACTGCAAAACCCACCACTCTAAAACCCACAACTCCAATACCTTCTACTCCGAAACCAACAACAAGTACAACAACCACCACCACAATAACCACCACTATACGAACCACCGGCAAACCTAAATTTAAGCCAAAACCAAAACCATATGTTACCAGCACTCCGAAGCCTCTGGTGATCAAAACTAATCCGAGTATTTTGGAAGCAGAACCATTGGACATCAGTGGTGAACCCACCTTACCACCCAGTCTTCCCAACTTAAAGATAATTCCCTTCCTTCCAACCGATGCTGTGGATACTGTTCCCAAGGAGAAGTATCCATCCAACTTCTATCAGCAACAGGTTGCCTCCGATAAAATGGATGTGGTTGGTTATGATACCCTTGATGATTCGGTGGCTATGTTCTCGCAATCCCAGCCAGACCAGGCTGCCTACAAATACAAGTTCAATGTGGAAGTGCCAGCTGTGGAATCCGCTCCAGAACCGGTCGTCCATGTGGGAGGCAAAATATGAGGGAAGTGCAGCTTACGTAAGCTTTGATTTCGATCGTCCGGTTGTGCCGCCACCACACAATGGTTTCTCGCCACCCACTGAAACAGAGGGAGGATTCATGCCTAAGGAACCCCTCGTTATCGATGGGGAAGTCCTTCACGAACATGTCACCTCGAGTGGAATCAACGGGCCAGTTGATAATTTCCACGTCACGCAGCATATTATTGATATCACAACTTCTGGGTTGCAAGCTAATGATACTGTTTCTATAGGTGAGTTTTAAACAAGATTATTTTCTAATATCAAGACAAATTAAGTTTATATTTCCATTACCAGATTAAAGGCACTGCCTTTATTCAGATTTAACGTAAAAAAGTTTATGAGTGTAGAATAACATTGCATTCAATGAATTCAAAGAATTTCCTTTATCTAGATTCAACAGAAAATGTCAACTTGTTTTTTCTATTCTCTTTCAGAAATCACCACACCCGATCCCTTCAAGGATGTCATACACACGGAGCCTTCGCCCAATCTCGATGAATTAATCGTTGACAAGGCGAACAAGAAGCCGAGTGAAGAGCATATCGAGACCGTCACTTACAGTGTTAGCAATTCAACAGCCTCCTCCATATTGTCATCTATCAGCAGCACTACAGCAGCAGCAGCAACAACAGAAGCCACTCCAACAACACCAACAACAACGGAAAAGGAAACCCCCTTTATAGATAAATATGAAATCAATAAATTAGATAAGCTCTTGGATGAGCTGCTCGGCATGGAGTTGTCCAAAGAAGATATTGTGAGCAGCACAGTGCCGGCATTTAAGGCACTGCCAACGGCAACACCAACGACAACAAAATCAGCAGCAATAGCAACAGAAACAACAACAGCAACAAGCACGCCAGCAACATCAGCCACTGGTCGGCCAACAGCGACAACACGTGCCCCGGCCAAAAAGGGAAATAGTAAAACGAAAAACAAACAAACCAGCAGCAATAGACGCAAAGTCCAGAGTGCCACACGACGCCAAAGTACACCAGCAACCACTAGAGCCCCACCAGCAACATCAACTGCGTCAACAACCACGGGACAGCCCACAACAACGAAGAGCACTCAACATCCATTTTTAAACTCACCGTTCGACAAATTACCCTTCATGGATACCAGCTATGAGGTAAGACCGCACCGATTGCAACCGCAGCAGCAGCAACAGCAACAGCAGCAGCAGCAGCATCAGCATGCATTGCAAGCACCGCAGCAACATGAGCAGCCACCACAGCAATTCCACCATTACCAACATGCAACACGACCGCCGACAACAGCCCAACCTGCAACATCCGCGGAGGATGTGCCACAGGATACGAGTTTGAGTTCGGGGGAGAGAACTGGCGGCGGTGGAGGTGCATTTCTGGGTGGCGATGATCCACTCGGTCAGCTGAAATTGGCGGGCTGCAATATTTACGGACGCATGTACCGGGTGGGTAGGATTATCGTGGAATTATCCAGCCAGTGCCTGGAATGCAAATGCACCGAGGTGGGCGTCAAGTGCGGCCCATTAGACTGTTAATTTAGATACCCCCCATGATCGTAATCCCCCAGGGAGTGTATAGAGGATAAGTGTCAGTTTGTAGACGTAGGTTGTAGCTTGTATGCTAATCCCTAACTGTAACTAACTAAGGGGTAGATTAGAACTTCTCTAGAAAGTAAGTTGTATTATAGAAAAATGACATTGATGTCTTTGAAAACAAAACATACAAAATACTTATATTTAGCTTGGCATTTATGACGCATATTTATTAAGATTAAATTAAGGAATAAATAAACATTAAATATATTTCATAAAATTATCAAAAAGTGGTTTTCAATATGCTTATGGAAATAAAAATCATAACTAAACTTATTGAAAATTATAATTAATTTCGGTTTTAGCTAGCTTTGACCTAAAATTCTATATAAATATTTATTGCCTTTCCACATTGTTGCAAATTTGCCAAATAACTAATTGCAACATATGAATAAAGGCATCTGTGCTGGTGCATAGTTTGAGGGAGACATTCCACGAATTATTTCTGTTTTTAATTGCAAGTCGAAATTTGTTATAGAATATTTATGAAACCCCTGACATTCCTTTCTCCGATAGCATTAATTACCCAAAACCACTTGATGAGTAATCAATAGAGACGCCATTAAGCCAACAAGTGTAGGCCAATTAGTTGAGTGGCAAGTATACAGCACATAAAAACCAGCAAATAAAACATTGCCCACCCTTTTATGAGGTGTAAAGTAAATGTTTATTCATAACACCGAAATTATGCATGAAAAACAAAAAGAATAATAAGTTTACAACGGATTTTGTGACCAAACAATAGGTGAAGTCCATAAAAGGAACAAACCGAATAATTGCTGGCTATTCAATTTAGGACAGTTTGATTGCCAGAATAACAATCAAGTTAAATGTGTTTATAGAATTATTCAACTAACAACTTCAGTTTGCTGATAAAATATTTCTGGATTAAATATTTAATGGAATTCTTTTATCAGTCTTAATGGGACAATTTTGGCAACTGACTTCAATATCGCTTAAAATCATTAAAAAAACTTAAACTAAATCGACTATTTTCACACTTATTCTTTATCATTCAAAACTAATTACCTAATTTGTGACTAAAAGTAATTGGCCTTTTGAGTCGTTGGCCGGTAGCGTTGGTAGACAATGAAACCGCACAGAATTCCAGCCACGCCCCCTCCTATATGGGCCTCCAGACTGATCCGTGGATTGCGATTGTGGTTGTGGCAAAAGTGATGTATTGTAAAACCAACATCGCTGAGGAACAATATCAACAGGGAGGCGGTGCGGGCGTATCGGTGTGACAATTGCGAAAAGTTCTATTCGAGAAAATGGGAAAACGTGTAAACATTAAATCAAAATTAAATTGCGGTTTCCAGCTGACTGACCAGAACCAGGTGCGGCACATGACTTCCCAGCATGGCATAGACCCCGGCGGAGGCACCCATCAAAAGGAGATGTGGCTGCAGCCAGGCGTTGGCCAATGAACCGGCAACACCACCCACAATATAGACCACGGCCAGGCGACAGTGACCCTGCTCTAGTTCCAAACAGATACCTATAAAGCACTGGCAAAGCCATTAACCTTTCTTAGTGATACATTGCAACAACAGGTGGCAGCTTCTTTATAGTTCAAGGAAGGATTTACTAACTTCTTCATGAGCTATAATTTTATTAGTCGGATTTTACTAGAGGGAATTCAATCTAGTTTGGTTACTTACCTGCAAACAAATGTTGAGGGTCAAGTGCCAGTAATCGGAATGTAGCATCATATAGGTCAGTAATCGCCAGTACTCCCCCATCCATTCCGGCTTGAAGATCAGTCTTTTTTGCATGCACTCATTGGCAATCCAGTGAAGTGATATCTGGTGAAGCGTAAGGAAAAACAGAGGGAAGACCTTAATAACATTACACTTTACTACAAGATAAATCCATAGCATTTGAGTTCGTTATTCATCTCTTATCAGTGTATATTTATGTTGGGGAATGATCACATACATTGCTTATCTTTTCGGGAATTCCAAACAAATTTGTTGGGATCTTTATTGAAGAATTTACTGTAGCTTTATCATTACCAAAACTTCTCATATCCGTCTTCTAATAGCTAAACTAGCATAGCAACTAAGATTTTAATTTAGTTGCCTTTGCCATTTTGGAGCACCCTCAACTTTGTTGAACAGTGTCATGGCTACAGCCTGTCACTTTCGCTCAATCGATCGACACTTTGGCCAACTGAGAAGTGCGAGTGTTGAGTTGAGATGCCGCACAATATGCGCCGCATGAGTTGACAGCATAGCCATAGCCACAAAAACACGGCTGCGACACCAAATCGGTGCAACATGCATCCCGATGCCACCAAATATGACAAATGCCAGAGCTGCAAGTTGCAGCATTCGATCGATACGATGACTAAAATGGCAATATAGCTAAATCGGACCGACGACGACGCGTTCGATTGTGCAATCATTAGCGAGTTGTGGGTTGGGCTAAACAACAATGAAAAACCTTACCGATCACCGATCTGCATTACTGAGTGTGCAGAGTGAGTATGTGAAGTATGCAGCAAGGTATCAATTAATGAGTGTTGCGATTAAATGGGTCACACTTGTGGGACTTTCTGAGGGAGCAGTATTGGCCAAGAGCCAATGAGTAACTGAGTGGTGAAACACCTGTTGACAGGAATCACTAAAACTAACTATAAGAGCTAATCGTCAAGGCTAATTCATAGTTGAGCAACAATTGTTTTGATTTAGGAACAAATCTGATTTCATTAAGAAGCAGGAAATAAAGATTTTAAAAAGCTTTCATCAATATAGTCGTAGAAGATAAGCTAAAAAGTCTCAATTAGTGCACAGCGGGATTTAAAAAACTTTATAATTTACACATAACATTGTTTTATTTATTCATTTCAAAGCTCTCTCCATAATATTTTCATTCAATTAACTTAACACATGAAAAAGTGCCCAGTCAAACTCATCGAAAGACAAAAAAAAATATACAAAAATCCGATCTATCACTTATTTGCCGCTTAGTACAAACCACAGTAAATCAACATATATAAACGATGGAAAAAATTTTCCTCAGAATGAAAATTCATATGAATTGAAAAGCATTATTTTATGGAGCACTCACACAATGGCACCATCCACGGATAAACCAAACAAAAACAAACAAATTGTTTTGCTTAAAAAAACCAGTGAAAAACTCATTATTAAGATGTGGGATTATAAAAATAGATTTTTAAGAACACTCTTGTTCAGATTGTTTTCTTTAAAATGCGAATGAATCTCAGAGCTTATCAGCAGTGAAAGTTTACTAATAAGCAAAACATTTGATTTAAGCCTTTTCTCCGAATATGTAATCAAACATATACTGAGTGTTTCAGGTTGTTGAGTAATTCATTGTTATCACTTTTAATTTTCGGGAAAAGTATTTCACTTAGACTCTTAAATTCTCTTATCAGTTTGAGCCTGTCATGAGCGAAGCCTTCATAGAACGCGACTTTGAATAGAAAATAATTGAATTTTTTGCAATCAAATCGTTTTGTTAAAGGCACTACAAATAATTTCACCTTTGACATCTTCAAAGGTAATTTATTAGCTTACGTATTTCCTTATCGGTTAAATGTTTTTTCGCATTAACCAATTTTATTTTTCCAATTAAACTCACATCACTCATACGCCATGTGGCCGCGTTGGCAAACAAACAAACAAACAAAAAGAAGCAAAATAAGAGACAATCGAATAAGTGGAGCAACTGCATTAAAATCGAACCTGCATAAAACACATCAGCAAAATAAACCAGGGCACCCGCCGCACTCGCTTCCTCCATGTACGGCCAACGTCAGCGGGTCGTGTCAGGTCATCAATGAAAGTCTTATGCACTTCATTCGGGGAAATGACACTCGTCGGATTGCCATCCGATGCAGAGTCTGGCAGAAGCAAAAGTCTGACATCCTTCACGCTATTATTATTGTTTTCACTGACATTATTGCTATCCAGTTGGGCGGACATAATGCGATTTGAAGGCGGCGAAACAACAACCGATGCGCCGAACGTTTAACGCGCGACTAGGCTGCGTAGGTGATTGTTCTTCCAAAGCGCCACGATCCATTGCGATACGAATGAATCGCCGCCGGCAGACGCAAATATCATTGTTTGCTTTTAAAATATAAAGCATGCTTTTAGGCGAGCGCGGGGTTCAAGCCTCAGCTAACTTGTTCTGTCTAAAATATATGAGCGATTGCTGCTGACTAAGAAGATATAAGCATTCTTTGTTTGAAGAATAAACTATTCGAAATATATGAATAGGTCTTCGTAACACAAAAGTTTCGTGGAATTGAATATTAATTCAGTTTTTAAATTTAGTAAGTGGCAAAAATATTAGCAAATAGAATTACTAAAACAAAGTACACAAAGACCAAAGCTGAGAACTTTAATAACACAGAAGATAAGAGATTTCCTGTGGAATTCATAAGCTGATAAACTTTCGTCTGCGGTCAGCCGCCAAACACTTTAATATTCCAGCCAACTTGTAGCTCGAATTTAATTTGGCCCAGCCCCATCCTTGGCATTTGACATTTTAGGAAGAGCGGTGTTGCACAGAAGTTGCAGCAACAATTTCAACATGCCAGCGACTTGTTTACACAGCAATGTGGTGAAAAGCTTGCTCTCTCTCTTTCTCCACATCTCTTTTGTCGGCCTGCAGCTGTCTCTTTCGTTGGTTCGCTCGGGCTGGACACGTGGTGGGCGTTTATGTTGGGAGGCGGCTGTCAACGCCGAATGCTTGGTTATGAATGGCTTTTAATGAAATATTTATGTAACAAGCAATAAGAAGCACTTTTGGCTTCTCGGAGGAAGTGAAAGAGATAGCAGAAATGGGAAATAGAAATGCAGAAAGAGATGGCTAGACCGCAAGAGCGTTGGAAATAATTGTTTGGCTAGTTAAGTTTGACGCAACGTTAAACTAAGATAAAGCAAACACATAAACGAGGAAACACACACTGGTCACATCATACAGCTGAGGGTGAATAAGTAGGACTTATGTACTTAAATTAATTTGTTTTATTCTGTTTTAAGTAGTTAAGATTTACTTGATTAATCATGCCCTACGTCATTAAATTCCTAGTTAAGTTTAAAAAGTTTACCAAATATTCTAATATTCCCTATCTGCTCATCCGCAACTGTTTTATAATGAATTTATCTAAGTGTTTGTCATAAACTTCTCTAACTGGTGGTTGTGTTGCCAAAAGTCATTAACAGTCAACGGAAACGTGCCACAGCAGCAGGAGATGCACCCGAAACAACAAATTGACAAATGCGGCAAGGCCAAAGGAAAGCGGCAAAGTTGGCTGAGCCAGACACAAAACTTAGCGCCGTCTGATATGTCTGTGTGGCTTTATTTGTTCGCCCCTGGCTTACATGTGACTTAGCCAAAGGCAAAAGGGGCAGATCACATGGCCTGTCATAGTCAATCCTTTAAAGCGAAAATGTGAACGGGGACTCTGGGGTAGCTTTCAAAGATTGTGTAACTTTAAGCTAAAGGTCCCTTTAGACCCTCTTAAAATATTTTTCAGATAATAATTTAATAACTAATAGGAAACAATTTATATTATTACCAATTTTGAAGTTCATTTTAAAATATAGAACAAAATATTTCTGAGTTTTAACTAATTTTTATCATATAGATTTCCCTCATTACAAAAATTTCCTTTTCCAAACAAGAACAACATATTTCTGAGTTTTAACTAATTTTTATCATATAGATTTTCCTCATTATGAAAATTTCCTTTTCCATTTTTTGCCCATATTTTTTATCAGCATTTGAGAACTTTTCGCCTACGAGTAACTCAGCAAAAGAGGAGCCTCTCATAAAGTAAATATGCGAACAACTTTAACACACCAGTAAAACCCCAGGGGGTCCAACATAATTCCAATGGCAGCCCACTTGGTCCGCTTCCCCTCGAACAGGACCAAGATGTTCCACTTTAGCAGCACCCAAATCCAAAAATGGTAAATTCCCCACAGCCAGCTTACAGAAGCAAAAAAAGAAAACGTTTAGGCAAATCTTTGGGCCAAAATCTTGGGCAAACAAGCTCATTACAGGGCAGCAAAAATACCAAAAAGAGGGAAAATAGGACGGAAGAAAATTGTAAGCAAGGCAACTAAGTGTGCCACATGATTGAGTGACTTGCCGCAAGAAGGGGGCGTGTCAGAGACTGAAGACCATTACGGTCACAGTTTATGACCGCAATTTTATTGATACCGCCAAAGGGAGCGAATACAAAATAAAATAAAGCAACCCAAATCGGGTAAATCCGAGAAGCCCCAAGGAATCTCAACGGATTGTTGGCTATAAAGCGCAGTGGGAACACTTTTCGAGAGTTCCCCGGTAATTCTGGGCGGTTTTATTACGGACACCAAAGGCAATAACAATCACTACCACAAGCACTACAATAAACTAATCTAATGTACGCATCAAATTTGCATGCAACGACTCGGCGGCGTTTTAAAAGACTTTTCCCCGGAAAAGTCTTCACTGATAAGACGCTGAGAGAATTACGCCTTTCAGTGCCAACATTCTGCAAAGGCAAATATTAACAAGCTTCGTTTCATTGGCATTGTATGTGACTACGTGTTAGAGATGGGTTTACAAGCTACGTTGTTTACTAACTGAAGTTCAATATTTTTGGCAACTAGTCGTATGAGTAATTTTTTTGAAGGCACAGCCAGCCTGGCTTACTATACGTATGAGTGATTTTTGTACAATTAATTTAGTAATACTTTTGCAAAATACGATGCTAGAATTTTACCCATCTCTAGGGTATACACCATAAACCCGAAGGTTTTGCGGTCTATTGGGCGTGCACGGGCATAAGTAAGATGCAAAGGACGTTTGTCCTTTCACGAAAACCCCCTCCTTCTTCTCACAGAATCCGTTGGCTAAATATGTGTGAGAGCGTGTGCGTTAGTGTTGCTTTGGTGCGTGCCTCTGATGCAAACTCAATTATTAATTAGAAGGGCCAAAAGGCATCCAGCAGGAGGCAAACACCTTACACTTTGCCATTGCCTTCTTGTTTTAGTTGTAACTGTTGTAAGTCTCAGTGCCAAAGCCCAATCCCAACCTCTATTACCTCCAAGCCAACACCCCCGAACAGAAAGCCCAACTCTGGGGAAATTTGCATTTTATCATCTCTTGGTTTTGGCCCACTTTTCCCCAACCTTTCAGCATCCCCTTGTCGCCAGTTATTTCTGCCAGGAAGGGCTTTGCTTTTAATTGGTTTTCTCGGGCGAGAAACGTCTTAGCTAGTTGGAAGGACGAGGCGTAAGGGAAGGGGATATCTTGTTGTCGGTGTTGTCTTAGTTGTTAATTTAGTGTTAGGCGGCACTAACTTATAATTGTTTAATTAGCAAGTAAAATACGGGGAAAATATGTGGAAATTATTAGATTTCAAGGACGGAACACAAAGGCAAAGCAGTGTGTTTGTGAATATTCTGAGAAATGGCAGGTGACAATATCAATATAGATTAATATGAAAATTCAGGGCTTTGCAAGTAATTCAATTTGTAAACTTGTTAAGCTAAACAAGACACATAGATTTAATTACCAAATTTCAAATCCAATTAATATAAAATGAGAAAACTTGTCTTAAAGACTTTATTATTACCATATTTAACCTTCTTTGCCTTAAGTTTTCATATATAGCCTCTAGCTTTAAATATAAACAATAACTTTCAGTGTTCTATAAGCAATAATAACATTAATCAATAAATTACTGGATCAATTGTTAAAACACTGAAAGAAAGGTGTAAAGGTATTGAAGGGTTTATTATTATTTTAATTTTAATTCTATCTCGGAAGTTATTGATTATATTTCATGAATACTTTTTACTATAAATTGAATTCTAATTACAATCCCTATATTTAAGGGTAACTCCTACCAATTCCTCTTTGCGTACAGTTCGTTTCACATTTAATAAGCTAAAAGCATTTTAGGCTCCCCCCGAAGATATTTATCTTAACCATATGCATATTAACCGCTCCTGCCACTGCGTATAAGCGTTTTCATTATGCCAACAATCGGTTGAGTACATAAGGTAAATGTTAACCCTTTTGGAGTTATAGCCAACCAGCCAGCGGCAGTACAAGTAGAGAACTGAAAGAGAAAAGTTAGCAAAGAGCGGAGAGGCAACTAAAAGTCAGCAAAATGATTCAAATTATGAACTGGCTCTCAATGGTAGAAATAAATATTTAAATTTATTAAATATTCCTTAAATCTGAATATTATTTATAAACTAGGTCATAGGACTAATACCTCTGAATCGTCAGGATACGGAAACCAATTTCATAGTCGACTACGCTATGATGTTTATTGTGCCTATTTTCTATGTGGCCTGCTACCTCCTGATCAATTTAAGCCACATTTTTGGCCTCTGCTTCTTGGATGCCTGTAATAGTGTTTGCAGACTGAGCAACCACCTCTTCATGCATTTGGGTGCCTTTCTTTATCTTACAATCACTCTTATGAGTATCTATCGTCGCAAGGAGTTCTTTCGGCAGTTTGACGAGCGATTAAATGCCATTGATGAAGTTATCCAGAAATGTCAGAGGGTGGCCGAAATGGAAAAAGTGAAGGTCACTTCGGTAAGGCACAGTGTGACCTACCACTTCACCTGGCTTTTCCTGTTCTGCGTTTTTAGTTTTGCCCTGTACTATGATGTTAGAGCGCTGTATCTGTGAGTATGAGTATATAAAACTATTGGCAAACACTTTAAGGCAATTACATTTTATAACTTCCTAACCTTCCTTCGTCTAGGACCTTCGGCAATTACGCTTTCATACCGTTCATGGTGTCCAGTTTCCCTTACTTGGCCGGCAGCATCATTCAGGGCGAGTTCATCTATCATGTGTCGGTCATTTCGCAGCGCTTCGAGCAGATTAACACGTTGTTCGAGAAGATTAACCAGGAGGCCCGCCACCGCCACGCCCCACTCACCGTATTCGATATCGAGAGCGAGGGCAAAAAGGGAAGGAAGACCGTTACACCGATTACGGCCATGGACGGCAGGACGACATTTGGCAATGAGAACAAGTTGGCCGGCGAAATGAAACGGCAAATGGGCCAACAAAAGAACGATGAAGACGAATTGGACACCAGCAATGACGAGGACGAGGATGATTTTGATTATGACAATGCCACCATTGCCGAAAATAAAGGGTAAGAGGAAAACGATTTGACGGCTAAGGTTTCAGCCAAAAAACGGTTGATTAATGGTTACAGTCCCTCTTTTTGTTTACCTTATTTTCTGTGTTTTGATTTTAAGCTTAGCAGGTCATTTGAACAAAATTTATTCATTTATTTTTTAGCAGGTTTTTTGTATTTTTACTTATTGAAAAAATTGCTACAAAGAGCTTTTAAACATTCTTAAAATCATTCCTTAAATTTAGAAACACTTCGGAGGCCAATTTACCGGACCTCTTTAAGCTCCATGACAAAATCCTGTCACTCAGTGTGATTACCAATGGCGAGTTTGGGCCACAGTGTGTACCCTATATGGCGGCCTGTTTTGTGGTGAGCATTTTTGGAATTTTCCTGGAGACCAAGGTCAACTTTATAGTGAGCGGAAAGAGTCGACTGCTGGACTATATGACCTACTTGTATGTTATTTGGAGTTTCACCACCATGGTAGTTGCATATATCGTGCTTCGACTGTGCTGTAATGCCAATAATCACTCCAAGCAATCAGCCATGATAGTCCATGAGATAATGCAAAAGAAACCGGCATTCATGCTGAGCAACGATCTTTTCTACAACAAAATGAAGTCGTTTACTTTGCAATTCCTTCACTGGGAGGGCTTTTTCCAGTTCAATGGGATAGGATTGTTTGCCCTGGACTATACTTTTATATTTTCGGTAAGTCTTAGATAGGTAAAATATACATTTTTCTAAGAATAATCTAATTTTTCAGACTGTAAGTGCAGCCACATCTTATCTGATTGTCTTGCTGCAATTTGACATGACTGCAATTTTGCGCAACGAGGGGCTGATGTCATAAAAAGTTTAGTCAAGCTCAATTAAAACGTTTTTTAAGCTTAATATTTCATCACAGTTTATCACTTTTGCTTTCTTTAACACAGTCAAAGTAAAAAATGTGCAAATAATTTGAAAAGTCGGTCGGAAAATACTCTTTTCCAGTGCTCATATCTAAGGCGAGTTCCTGAGTTTCTGGGGTTCAAAAATAAATTATCATAAAGAAATAAAATATATTAAATAAATAAATGGTGCTTTTAAGGAACTAATAATTTTCATTTAATAATCAACATTTTTCCCAGTATAAATCTAATCAGCCAAATAATTAAGCGGACACCTCACAAAATTTCGCACAATTTCCGGCGTTTTTCAGGCAAATGGCACCTCATAAATCACTCAACCAAACACAATTTCTGAGAGTAACCGAAACGAACTGCGGATGAAATCCACGGGAGGAACGAAGGCTTCTGTTGAGCCCCTCGATAATCGCATCACGAGCCTCGCCATGAAGGATGCCCAAGAGTAGGCGGCGTTTAGGGGGGGCAGGACCAAAGGTTACTAACGCAATTTCTATCAAATGTCAATTGAAAACCCGATTTGCCAGTCATCAGTCAGGGCCTCTTTTCCACAGCCAGTCCACATTTTGCGGCCATCAAACGGAAGCCAGAAACGAGGGGAAAAGTGAAAGTCGGGGCGGAGGAAGGATGCTCGGTGGGAGAGAGAAAAAAAAAGAACATGAAGCAATTTCCGCTTTCAATCACGTTTAGTGCAGCGGAAATGTGTGCAGAAATATGTTTCTTTTCCCCTTTTTTTTTGTATGCAAATTTCTCAACTGGAATGAGGTTAGATTGTAAATTGCATTTCGCTTCGATTGAATCTTTTATCATGTAAAAAAAGTGAGAAATCGACCAGCGTGTGGTGTCAGATACTCAATTAATTGCACATTATATCCAAAGAGTATCCAATTTAATTGATTTTTTTCGTCACACTTGCTATCTCTTTTTGTTACACACTTTTCGAACAGGACACACAGCGTGGCTCACATTACACACTTTATGAATGCACTGAAACAATTCAGAAGGCTGTTTGTTTGTTAATTTGACTTAGAAATCATATACTAACATTGTAGCCATCGAATTTGTTACAAAATGTAACTTTTTATAACATTTAAGATAAATTGTGGGCCACTTAATGTTACACTTTACCAAATTCTGTTTCTTTTTACTTTCAAAACATTTCATTTTCATATTGAAATCTACACCGGCATTTATTTATTATCCCTGAATCAATGAAAGTGAACTAACTAATTACAAACTACACACCGGATGCATTTTTTTATGTGCTTGATTTCAATGGCTACTAGAACACATCCTGAACACGTAAATCAATATATGGCTCGATTGGCTCGTTTGCACACGAACCCTCCATGAAGGAGAAATAAATAAAGAGCCACAGGGACCTGGGGGAGATGGAGATGGGAATGGGGATGAAATGTGGTTGTCCTGGTCAGTGAAATGTCTGGAAACAGAAACAGAAGCAACAGGCAACACACATATTACCTGCAAATTACGTCAACTGTTGCTGGGAGCCAGGATAGAGCTACAGAATACAGGGGCTCGGTCATCAGGGTAAGGTTTAAAGAGGTCGAATCTAGAGTGGGTTAAAGTCAAAATGGTTTATTTTTCAACGTAATAAAAGGGAACGTACTAAAAGTATACAGCTAGAAAAGCTTATATAGGTCTTAGGTTAAGTGGAAAGAAATTGAAGTTATCCTTTAAAAAATATCCTTAAAAGTATGCTATACTTTTTTAACCATCTTAGCTAACCTCTTTTATTTAATTAAGAAACCTCTTTCAGTATCTATCAGTATCTCATAATAAAATGAATATTAAGATTATAACATCTTTCTAGCTCTAATAGTTTTTCTTTCAGTGAGTAGTTCAGCCTGGGCCACGTGACCCCTGCAAGGCAATGTGAAATGTCAGAGCACTTTTAAGAGTTCATTTAGATGGTAGCAAATTTTCTACTGAAACGTTTAATGCAGTGGATGTGCTTGGAAAATACAGAGGGCTGGAAAAGGGGCTCGGAGGCAACCTAGCAGACAAATGTCAACAGGTTGTTGCTGTTGCTTGGGTAATTGAGGCTAAAAATGTAATTGTTTTTCGGGGGAAGGTTTTCAATGGTTAAAGCCAGTTGTTGTATGAATGGTTAACTTATTTATAACTCTTTTTGGGTTAGCTTACCCCACTTCAGTTCAAGCATATACGTGCTAGATTACCACATTTTATTTGAGGTAAATAATAAAGTTTGTGGAAATTAAGCTTTAAACTCTATAAATTTGACAAAGGAAAAGAAAGTCATAGAAATGATAAATTCATAGAAAATAATTCTCTTGCTAGAGGACTAACGGTTGTTCTACTTAAGTCAAATCTTAACCTTGGTTTCAAGGGTCAATGAGTAAAGTAATTCTTGCTGATTTCAGACATTTCTGACACTGAAGTATTCATCAAAGTGACTGTGCAGCACTCAAGGTTTAAGGATGTAAATTGATGTATGTAAATCTTTGACATTAGCATGACAACACTGACATGATGACGAAAGCTTTCACACTACAGGTGTCTGTCCGAGCGAGACAGCAAAAGCAGAAGAAGAGCGCGAGATATCAAAAAAGAGAGCAACAGAGAGCGAACGGCGAGCGACAAGTGTGGTGAATTTTGTCTAACATCCTTGAGAACTCAGTCACCCTTGGCCAAGCGAAGGCAAATTGTGCGAGGACTCGAGGCGAAATCAAATCAAACTGATAACAGAGAGAGAAAGAGAGAGAGAGAGAGTGAGAGCAAGCACAAACGATTGCAAGAGAGAGCGAAACTTTTCCTTCAGCAGGATAGCCATGGCTAACAGAACAGTTCGTGGCGGAGTTTCAAGTGCGACGGTTGTGCCCTAGCGGTTTAACGGTACAACACATCCTTCAAAGGGAGCCAGTGTGTGTGAGTGTGTGGGTGCCTCAGCCTCACTAAGCCTTAGTGTTGTTGTAAAGGAAAACGAAAGTTTTGTGCGGTTAACTTCAAAACTAAAGTTAAACAATTTCAAAAACCATTCAAAAATAAAAAAGAAAAAGCTTTTTAAAACTTAAAATCGAAATCAAGCAAAAAACTATGGAAAAGGGACTTGGAAAGAGCAAAAAAACATAGAAAGTTAATCAACTAATTCCATTCTTAACCAAAGGAAATTGAAAACAATTTAATCAACAGAAAGAAAATATGTTTTGAAATGAACTCTGTTAAATAATCAAGCAGAGCAGACTGCGCAGTTTGGCGCCGCGTGGGCGTCTGCCCAAAAATTCAAGAAGTAAAGCGGAGAACAAGGCAGAAAAATATAAGAAATACATAAATCCCACCTAGACACAAACGGTGTGCCTGCCCCTGACTTTTATTTACAGGTTGTTGTTTTTTTCGGGGTACTCAGCGAAGGCAGTAATTTTTGCAAACCTAGCAGGATATGCTCTAGGACAACATTTACTTACATTAGTGATCGAAAATATAGCTTCTTTCAGTCGCTCTTTTGAACTTAGTTTGAAGAATTATTAAATGTGTTAAAAAGTTTTAACGTTTATTTTCAACGTATTTTACTACAAAACATACTCAGGAGGAGAAGAAAAGAAAAGCTTTATCTCCTTGATTTCTCCTTTACGAGAATATTTTCTTGTTACAATCACCTAGATTTTTTATTGTTTACCTTTAATTAGTTCGGTTTAGTTTTTCCTTTCACCACTGCAAAAGTCCTTGCAACTTTTGTTCTCTGCAACTTCAGCGGTGTAAGAGCATTCAACCTTCTGCTTGGCAAGCAAAGAAAAGACAACTTTCCACTGCTTTCTCCAGCATTTCTCCGTCTTCTTCTTAGCGTCTCGCTTTCACTTGGTCATGAAAATCAAAGTCCCCCGTGTGCCCTATCAATGTATTGGCCACATCTGTGTAGATTGCCTCAGTGTGAGTGCCCACACACACAAACACAGACACGCACACAGATGTAACATATATATAGGTATATGTATATTATAGGGGTGTTTGTTGTGGGGGCGTGAAAAGTTTGTCTTCCTGTTTGAGTTGCGTATTTGGGCGCCATTTCAGCATTCCACTTTTTATTTACTACAAAATGCTTTGCATTTTTGTTCCATTTCTTCTTTGGTGTTATTTTGTTTTATTTTTCTAGTTCTTATTGCGTTTAATGTCCTGTTGGCCATTTGTTGGATATAAAAATTACCTCATACCCCCTCAACATTGCCGTAGCAATGAAATATTGTAATTAACTTTGTTGCCAACCGCCAAACCGATGAAAATTTCTGGCCTTAATGAGGCGGCAACAGGTTCCAAGGCAGTTTCAATTAAGTTTTTAATAAGCGACAGTTCACGGCTAATAAATATTCATAAATACATATATACATTAGCTCAGCTGTTGGCAATTTTCAAAGTACTAACCTCGTTTTGCCTCTGGCGTATTTTTAGTGTATTTAAAAGTTTTTTTCCAGAAACTTTTTGCACCAACTTTCCTCCGTTGTCCTTGTCGGCGGCACGGGAAAACTTTTTAGTTCCATTCATTATGAACGATAATATGTGCTCGGCTCCAGTGATGCTTAGGTTGGAAAATTCCATAAAGTTGGCAATTAATTACAAACTACAGAGAGTGAAGTGCAGGAATGACATTTCACACAGGAATTTTAAGCAGAAATGAGAAACTATTAGTAGGAATTCTTAAATTTTAGAAAATAACTTGCTGTCCGTTTAAGCAGAATGTTTATATAAAAAGTTTAAGAACTTGACATTAGTAATCAATCTTAATCTTTTAAAATTCAATTAAATATTAGAAAATATTTTACGTGCCATAATAGCCTATCTCTCAAGTTGGGCACTTGAAAGTTTGCTTATGGAAAACCAAACAAAAGCTCTGTTTTTATAAAACTTTTCTCTCAAAAACCAAAACAAAAACTTGACAAAATCCACAAATATTTGTTACACTTCAATGAATATT